TCATCTCAGTCACTTTATTTCCATATGAACTGGAAAATCTGACCCCTCTCCTTATACTTATCTACAAATAGCCTGGCAAACGGTGGTCCGAGATCACAGAAATAGGTAACAGTCAATTAAATGTACACATTTTAGCTGACAAACTGCTAAAAGTTTAAAAGCAACTTCTTTTTATTTCATAAGTAAAAGTCTAGTAATGATACTGAATGGATCCTGCAGTTTAATATGTTTAATTTATCTGGTAAATGGATAATTATTTTAAGAAAACATTTTCTTGTATGTCATGGGAAAGTTAAAGTTTGAAAGTGTGTATCTTTATGAGGTTTTTTCTTTCATTAAATGTGATAGCATGAAAAGTACAAGATCATATAGTGGTGCAGTCCCAGCGAATAAATACGGGAGTCTACAGGTATGCGGCTGACTTGGTTAACACGCTGAATTCCGTCACAAAGAGATTATCTGACAGTGTGGATTACAGAAGTGCATGTTACATAATCGTTATCCATGACAGAACCTCTCCTCTTCTCCTTACGTCCAATTTTATTTCCTTACGAGAATTAAAGCATTATGATCTTATAGTGGCCAAACATGCAATCTCAACAAAAACAAAGCTACAAAAAAATGAAACCTAACACAGAATGGGCTTTTCCAGATCGGAATGCTTTAGACACCTAAAACTTGTAAGCTGGTCTTTAATTGGTTATAGATCTCCCACCCTTACCCTGGACAGGGTATCTTACTCTGTATGGAGAAGAAAAAAAACCCTGATCCCTACACCATTGTATATTATTTCGTAAAGTTTTAGTTGAATTTCAATCATTAATGTGACAAATCTTTCAGTAAATATGACTCATTTTTTCAAAGAATCATTGTCACCAATTTCCCTCCATTTTTTTTTTAAAGTAATTCAATAAGTACGTGTCGCTCTTACCTTGGGCTTTTTCGGGCTTTTCCTGACCAACACAACATTTCAGTTTAAAATCCAATAATTAATTCGCAATATTTTGACTTCTGTCGGGGCTGGACCGCTAATATTTATCGCCCTAACAGCTGTTAGACCCATGACCTGGGGCCTTCATGATTGTTTTGAACTCACAAATTTATCTTACACATCTAAATGTCCAATTTTAGAATATTTAAAATTAGCCATCTCCACCAGTATTCTGCTCCAAGTATTGAATTATTCCTTATCCGTACAAATTAATAGCTTCTATTCATACAGCTTAAAATACAATATCCATGTTTAAATCACAAATCCAATCAAAATGTAAAACGATGGCAGTAACAACCATTTGACTATAACAGGACTTTGAATTTGTCATTTTAAACCTTGTCAAACTTTTGTATCATTTTTTTTTGACAAAAAATCAATATGAGTCATAAAACAAACAGCGATTTTCTAGAATCAATGGATGAAGTGCAGGCTTTGAGGGGACAGATTTAGCAGATGGGCCCCGCATTATTCAGCAATATCCAGGTATACCCCACTCACCTGTAAAACCTTGTCATCCATCTCCATTTATCAAATATTACAAACCTGTGCCTCTCCAGGTATTTAATGTTACCTTTGATGCATATTAATATTACCTAAGTTAAAAATCACTTGTAACATCTAGCATTTACAATGTTACGACTGTCTAGCATTGACAATTTATAAAGTTTCTTAATAAACCAGCAATCATTCATCCTTTCCTATTTTATGTGTCTCGATCTTTATATCAGTTTTGAAATTTATTGTAATTACTAGATTTACCTGGTCGTATGATATCCTCCACTGTAAAACATGGTCAACTTATTAATTTGTCTATATCTCATCAAAAATACTCAAAGAAGTCCTCACAAAAACTTGTAGTCTGGACAGAACATTATTGTAGTGTCATTTGAATTGTCACCTCTCTCCATCTTTTCAAGGTTTAAAACAGTAGCATTAGTCCAGTGAATCCACTTAATAATTCCAATTCTAATCAATTGAGAGAATAGATAATCCTAACCTCTTTTGATTCTATTTCCTTTACAATAAGAAAGTCAATGAAATCCAGGCTTTCTCTTCCCTTCGATTCAAAATTGGTTTAAATTTCAAAATGTAAATGCTTCACACTAAAGATTTACAATTAATCCCTCAAACATTTTTAAATTAGTGAAAGAAATGAGAAAGAGACTCCAAAAATCCCTGTACTGTAATCAGAAGAGACTATTTGCCAAGAGGGTCTATCATCATTAAAATCATTGCATGGATCATCTCACTTAATGACCAGTGTGTGATGAGCATCGAACATGAAGACTTTACATCAATTCTGACAGTAATTGACAAGATCCATAGTTACTGGGTTAATTCCCAGACCCTGACCACTGGTCAAATTCATCACTGACCAGTGACAGTCATATGATGGGACTATCACGATCCCTGCCAATCTACGGACTTAATGTAACAGTATGAAAGGCAAAATCAAAAACAACTATCCCCTTTAAAATGAGGCTGGAAATGAAGTTTTATAATAATATTTGTTTTTTGTTCTTTTTTTTTTAAAAAAAGAAATTTATATTGAATCATGTCTAAAATTTGAGGGGGACACCTGAAAATGAGGCTGCAATGAAATACAATGCCATGATAAGACATGGATAATAGTTATCTCAGTTGACAGAGTTTGGTCTTGAGCAGGAGTGTTTTCAATAAATAAATGATAATTAACGGAATTTTGTTCCTAATCTTTATTTACACCCATTAAATAAATATTAATAATTTGTTTTCTTTTATTTACAGAAATTTTTATTGTGTTGTCATGTCTAAATTTTGAAAAAACTGAATGAATGAATTTAAAAATGTTATGTCATACAGATGTAAGAAATCTTACAATCAACTGAAAAAATCTGGATGATGGGAGTTTTTCCCAGATTGCATAACTGGTTTAAAAACACTAATGTGTCTAAGTACAGAATCACTAACAGATGAGGGACTATCCCTATACGGAACATTCAGTGCATGACACCATTGGCTCGAGTGAGCGAGCGAGCCTGTATCCTCATCTACTATCTGTCCCTGTATCTGGCTGTAGGACTTTTACTACCTACATAACAGCAGTCCCACTCCCACAAAACGACAATAAAAACAGAAAGAAAAACCCGAAAACACTGATAAAATCAACAATCTGAATAATATGCAGGTCCCTTAGGTAGTTTGTTTGCATTGCATTATGACGCAAATTTTAGATTTATGTAAAAACAACACACATACATTATAAGAAACTGATGTGCAATAAAATCATTAAATATGTCAATAAGTGAATGCATGTTGGCATGTGACATCAGAATATCACAAAAGCAAATAGTTTGGATTCTGGTGTGAGGACATTTGACGGATTGTACGGGGATGGAGTTCTGACATGGATGTATACTGGTTAATACAGAACAGTACCAGCACTGCACACCAGAGAGTAATCGCTGGAATTTGTCTAATTACACCGCGACCCTCGGGACATTTTGTCTGCCTCACCACTGTCAATGAACTGTCTCATCCTCTGATATTCTACCATCAATACACTCAACTGATTACCGATGAAAAAAAGTTAAAAAAAAAATGTCGTGGACTTTAAGGTACAATTTTCATACATACCATTTGACTAACATCCACTTAAAGCCACCATGAGAACCACAAAATCAGAAACCCTCCTTTAACCAAAAAAAACCAGGATATTTTGTGCTAATTAACTCAATTAACTCTGATTTCTGAGGTGACTGAACGAGAACCCAGTGTGCTATATGTCTGTGATTTTCACCATGTGGTTCCACACCACCCCTCCTGCACCACCTGCCAGGGGATGCCTCAGAGAATTTAATTGGAGCAATCTGTGGTCTATAACAGTGAGCCGTACTGCTCTCACCTTACTGCAGATTACTGATTCTCTGGGAATCGAAGCAGGAATGTTCACACACTGAAATTAATTCTCATAACAGCTCCCTTCTGTAAGATAATAAATGCTTGCTCCTCCAACAGTTTTCAAAGACAGCTAGGAAGCAGAACTTAAAAGATCAAAGGAAACATGTTTATGGTTTTATAAATTAATGTCCATTTTCTGTTGTTCTCCTGAACATTTGAGCTAAGGATTTTAAATTTTTTAACTCATGATCATAAATTTCTTGCATAGACATACGAGTTGAAGCTACATCATTGTTTTTTTTCATGTTTTTTATCCTGTGACAGTCCCTTGCAAACTGTATCAACTACATGTATAAGTTCTTATTCTTTATTAATCTTCTTAACAAGTTACCAACAATTTTTAAAAATGTTCCAATGAACAAGTAAAAATTTGAATTGCAGAGAAATAATGACCGCAGAAATTAAATTAAAGGGTATAGTTAATACTAAAAATACAGTTTATCTGTAAAGGTGACCCATGAAAACCACATGTGACAGCAAAAGTTGTTTTTCTCATATATAGCTGGTAGTTCATATCTAAGATGAGCTTCAACTATCAGAAAATCTTTCAAGAAAACATCATGCTTTAAAGGAGTGATTGATTTTTAACAATTATAACAGACATTACACTGAAGATCTTATCTTCATAAAGTTATCAGATTGAATTATTTTTGTCTCAGAATTAAATCAAATGCATAACATTAACTGCACAACAAAAAAAAAGGAAATTATCATTTATGGATGTTTGTGTACAACTGAGATGCGTGTCTCTTACATTATACAACAAACTGGACAAAGCTGACCTGAATGAATAAAAGTATATATAGACAGACAGACGGACAGACAGGCAGACTGGTAAAGTGAAACGTTAACCTGGGTATGCGCTTTGATGAAGAACAGTTTAACTTTTAAATTTCAAACATCGATATCTTGGATATCCTTGAATTATAATGCCTTAATGATTTTGAAGTTCCAGCCACTGATATATTAAGGTTTTACTGTATAAAAAGTCGCACAGCATGAACTACATAATAAACAGTTTCATAATTCAGAATGATTAAGTATATATAGTATATATTTGACTTACTTGTAGCTTTTTAGACTCAGGGCTGTGTCACATCTGCAAATAGAAATAACTGATGTAAAATATGGGACATATAAAATGTTCAATTTATTAAATTCGATTCCATTTATTGATTCAACAAATATGTTGGTATACATATCAATACAACAATGTAGCTTAAATAAAATGAAAAACACAATGTGTTATCAGATTACTAGAAGAGCTAAGCACATACATAAGACTAGTGTATATTATAATGGATGAAGTGAAAAGTGTTTTAAAAATATACACACATGTATCTCTCCTCAACTTTTTCATTTTTTTTTTTTATTTAATTTAAACAAGAACAATCAAGAGAACAGAGGCTACAGTCTCAATAAAATCTCTACAACACAGAAACTGGAGACAAATCCTAAGCTAGACTAGCTCAGCAGACTCTATTACATTCCCATGGCAAACTCAACAGAGGGCACACAGAACCAATTTTATTAACTCTGGTATAAAAATGAACCAAGATCATAAGATGACCTGACATTGGTAAAACATTGTTAGATCTTGTCTCTGTGATGATGAGTAAACTTTGTATCTCATTTGAAAGTGATAGTAGTTCCAGCCAAAACAAGATTCCAGATCAACTTGACTAAAGGTCACGTCCACTGAACATAACATTGTAAGCTTTGTAGCTCAGTCCAGTGACCTTGTCCAAAAGACAAGTGTAAATCTTTACTGGTATGAATGAATAATTTTCTACATCTTTACATCAAACAAGCAATTCCCAAGCAACCTGAACAAGATTTTTTATTATTATAAGAATACCGTAATTGCACTGAAATAATATCAATATACTAGTATTATGTGTGTGTGTGGGGGGGGGGGGGGGGGGTTACAAACACTGATGCCCACCCATAGCGACATAGCGAAGATTAAACTTTTGTTAAATGCAAATTAAATATATCAGTACCCAAAGTAAGGTCTTCTCACAAAAAATAATATTGTGAAATATGAAAGCCAGCTAGCACCACCTGTTCAAAAGTTATGGCCAAGGATAAGTTTTTGAAAGGTAGGTCAAACTCCAGGGTCAAGGTCAAAGGGTAAAAGTTGTTGGTTTCTTAAGAAAGGTCCTACCACAAATATTACATATGTGAAGCATGAAAGCCCTGGCCCTAACCGTTCAAAAGCTTAGATGGCCAAGGTTCAAGTTTTTAAAAAAGAAGGCCAAACTCCAAGGACAAAGGGTCAAAGTTCTTGATATCCAATGAAAGGTCTTGTCACAAGGATTAAATGTGTGAAGTATAAAAGCCATAGCCATAGCCCTTTAAAAATTAAAGTCAATTAGGTTTGTTTTTTAAAAGTAGGTCAAACTCCAAGGTCAGGACAAAGGATAAAAGTTCTTGATTACATAATTACGGTATGTGAAGTATGAAAGCCCTAGCCCTTACCGTTCAAAAGTAATGACCAAGGTTAAAGTTTTTTCATACCTAGACAGACAGACGGACAGACACGACAAAACTATATACCCCCGAATCTTTGATTACGGGGGCATAAAAATCTTTGAAAGTCTCATTTTCTATGGATTATAATGAATAATTATGAAATATCTGCTTTCATTGTGGCCACATCAATCAAAATAAAATTTCAACATTGTTAAATTATGAAATATTCACTCCATCATAATAGTAATATGTCTGCTTTAGTCTATAGTAATTTTCTTTTTATGCTAGCTATTTGTGGAATTCTCTGCATCTGTCAAACTTATATCTAATGACAGTTATTACATGCATTTCAGGACCTAAAATTGGCTGGACATCTACACTAGCATGGATTAGGATTTTTTTCCCCCACAGAACCCCTGCTATATGAAGGAGACTCATCTTCACAATGCTGAACTGAGAGAATACTGAAATGATTCCTGTTTGTACTTAAACATTTAGGATAATCTGCCAATTACTAAAATATGTCTGTAATTCATCAAACTCCTGGGAAAGCTATCACAGGGCCTGATGGTAAATTTAATATCAGACACTGCTCACTCTTTATAGAAAATTAATGGAGCCCAAATGCCTATCACCTTTATTCTTTATACTTGTATAAAATGGTAAATCTTTGTTTCTGCAAACACATGGCTGTTCCTTGTGATGAAGAAGACGCTGTAATTATAGGGGCATTAAATCGGGGAGACTTCTGAACAGATGCATTATTCTGTGTGATATCTTAGAAAGCGAGATAAAAATAATTGCTTTGTTTGTCATTACACGACTCATTGCACTAGTGTTTTTTTGTAATTTCTTTTCCATACATCTGATGTACATATCTAACATCCAAACCAGCCTTCCAAATAACATGTCACTGCCACATAAAAGGGAGATAATCCTTGATGTAATGTAACAACACACATGCCTAGACAATAGAAGTATTGTAATGTCTAGATTACTTAGGAACAAATGTTCAAAGAAGACAAAAAGTTCATTGGTATAATAGTGTAAAACTTATAGGATGAACAATGGAAATAAAACTATACAAGTTTGTACCAATAAAAAAAAATTAAATGAATTAATTCTTAACATTTCAGGGAACGTAATTATTATTGCAAAATTTAATGTTTAAGCACTGCATTAGTAAAGGAAAATTTAAGGAAACATTAAATTTAATTAATATGCACAGAAAGTACTTTCTTATTTCATCTTATTCATCTTTCAAAATGTTAGTTTCTTTTTTTTGTACAATGAACAACCTACTTCCACCAAGGAAGTGTAAAAAATCCATCCTTGTTTAAAATAGGAACATTATATAGCATTTTTACTTTAAAAAATATGTCAAGGTCAAAGTAACAAGTGAAAATAATTTTTTAAACAGTATAATCCACTCTATGCATTGTATATAGTTAACAGTCATTATCGATGAACTAGCTACTTTAAATCAATTTAAAATTTCAGATGTTAAATGAACAATCCTGCACCTATCTGCAGACACAGATATTAAACCAATATTGATCAATTATAAACTCAGAGGACTTTTAACTTTACAAAGAAGATCCTGTTAATCAGAAAATCAGCATCTTACATAGAATTAAGGAATTACGTGATTCCTAGAGCATACCAAACACAAATGGTTACTTACTCAGCGAGATAAACAATATCACGGATCATCATTACTGGTCGCCAATCAAATCTTATAAAATCCAAATTATAAACTCCTGTCTGTCTGCATTATATGCCGATTCCTATATATATCCTCTATGAGCTTATTGATTCAGGATCCGGCCACACAGATAAATTATGTGTGTACATGTTACCCACTAGTCTGCAGATAATTCCGCTTCTAATCAGAGGATTTCACATGCAAAATAAATGTTTCCCCGTATCAAACCCACTGTATACAAAGTGCTAATCGAAAATCTACTTGATTTGGATCACTAGCTATATTGCTTTGGGTACTCTAATGCATTATCATATGGGTAAAAAAGAAAAATCTGCAAGCAAAAATGGGTAAAAGTAACCGTAAGAAATTAGGAAACTTATTAAACCTTTGTAGAATCAATGTAAATATATTTGAGGAAATATGTTTAAGTTGAAACATGTTAGCAATTCGATACCGTTCTCATTTAATAAGTTAAAATGCTATTTTCACTCCTTTTGAATTATTTCAATTGTTCTTAATTTTTTCAAAGTATATTCTGTTGTAAAAGTTATTGTATATAAGTTTTCTCCTCAGTTCACCCACAAAACATCATCTGATTTCTATACATTACGCTTTTTTGAGAAATTGAGCTATTCTTGTTTTGAGTGAATGCTACTATATGTTTGCAACATATTTTTGCGATTGCTATACTTTTTTCGGATCCTTTTTTGTGATTTGCATGAAATCAAGATTTATTGATTTTTGATAAAATTATTGCGATTTTAACAGTTTTGAAAACATATTGGCATTCATAATCACAAGAGAAACATTTATCAGTCAAAAGAAGTTAAACAGAAATAAAGAATTATAGAATTTGATGAAATGTGCAATCATTGCTGGTGTTTGTGCTATACTTGATTTGCATTTTGTCGTGATTGATACAGAAATGCTATGTTTGATTTGCATAGAATACTTCTTGAAGAATGGTGGCTTATATAGGGGAGGGGGGATATAATCCAAAGGCACTTTCTCAAATTTATGTCTTTAAATAACTTACAATGTATTGATAAATACACGTTATATATTTTCACTAATGTTTTAAAGGTATGTAAAAAGGAAAATAAATGCTTCACAAACTACTAGTATTCGAACTCTCTCCAAAGTTCTTGATAGGCGTGAGACTGAATGCGTTAACCACTATACGCTACGGTGTCTTCTTGTTGGTTGTGTGTCACATGTGTCAGTTTGCTTAAAAACAAATGAATTGTTGAGACAAAAAATGTTTTTCCACCTATTATTTAATTTATCCTGGTCCGTTTTTTTTTTGGATTTCTTCTTTCACCCAGCTGTTAGACCTTTGTTTTTATACTAAATTTGTTCACGAAAAGCTCCGTTTACTTGATCAACACATAGGGGTCACAGCGAGTGTGACCGATCAACAAGGGATGCTTACTGCTCCTAGGCACCTGTTCCCATTTCTGGTACTAGTATTCCGGGGGGTCCGTATTTATTCCCTGCTCACATATTTTATTTGTAAATTTTTCGACATAAATCAATGCTCATTATCCTCACTTTTTTAACATTCCAGAAATATTCGACTTTTAAATAGAATGGGTCCAAACACCATTTAGAAAAAACACAGTGGGTTTAAATTTTCAATCAACATTTCTTACAGTACAATACTATTATATGAATCAAATATGTTGAAGATGACATTACCGACAACATAATTGTAGAAAAATCAAACTTTTTCGTCACAGAGCGGGTGATTGTCCTCGCCTTATACACTTTCTCTCTCTCTCTTTTATAAATCTATGATAACGAGATTATAATGCAACTTAAGTAATATTTCACCTATTTTCACACTATCATCAGATATCAGAACTTAAAGCTAAGAATCTGAAACAGAGTCTATGAAAATTAAAGAAATTCAAAACATA